GGACAAAAGTGTGGTCACAAAACCTCTTAAAAGTATCAGTTATATCTGACTCCTGCAGGCAGCTCAAAGCACCTTGTACAAGTGTTTTTTTTATATGAGATTTTAGAATAAAAAATTTTCACCTAGGTTTTTAAGTGGTATTTTTTTAAATCCCATTTAGTAGATTATATGGCAAGAGTAGGGAATTATAACGTATAAAACAATAACAAAAATGGTTAGGCTTTATATACATTAAAAATTATAATGAAAATTCTAACAAAACTAGAACATTAGTATTTCTAATTCAGCTACATTTAACATTTTCAAGACCCAAATTTTAAGGTTTACTGACAATGATGAATGTTAATGCTTTTCCTTAAGGTTTTTATGAAATTATACAAATATTTCACAGTGTGTTCAAGTAACAGTTCATCTTTTTTTTTTAAATGTAAGATTGCCCAGAAGAGTCTGCCCAGAACTGACATATAGTTTATGTCAATTCTTCAATTCTGAAAAAAGGTCAACAGAGCACTTTTTCTCAGGGTGTAAGGTAGTGTTTCCACAAAGCAGATGCTGCCTCACCAATGTAACAGGAATGGTTTTTAATTTCCCCCCCAAAAAAGAAATCCACTATGTTTTTCTTACTATTGAAAAAAATAGGCTATCACTTGGGACTGGGAGTCTATTTTATATTGAGACTTTTGTTGAAATTAGTCAATTTAACAGCACTTTAAGTCTATAAAATTAGGAGTAAGCTAAGGAAAGTAGAACATAGTTATTCCTCAGTCTCCCTCTATGGAGCCATTTCTAAAAAGCATACAGTTCTTAGGCATTTAGTTCACAGAATTATATTCCTAAATCAGAGAAATTGTAATTTTGCTTCTTGTTTCAATTACACTTTTTCTGAGGAACTACTCATCCTACACAAGCTGTAATACGTAAGATCAAACAGTAATGAACATGCAATCAGTCCATTTCTAGCGCTATACACTGATTACTGGCTAGGCATTCTCTCACCTGGAGAGACGGATCCTTTAAATTTTCCATCCGCATTCTGAAAGAACCTGAAACTTCACATACAGTGAGATATCCTTGATTTTAATTTGTAACCCATTTACTACTTTATAAACTAAAAGGTAGGTTGAATATAGTGTTTTGAATTATGTGAACCAAATATATGCTTGAAATCGTACATTTAAAAAATGGTACCCATCAACCCACTGAGCATGCATCTACCTGCACAAGTTGATACAATTTCTTTTCATAAATTCAGAATTGTGGTGGTATATTCCTAAAATACAAGATTAAAAAAAGACCAATCATATAACCCTTTCCTCAAAATAAAATAAAAACATTATACCATTTGGGGGGGGGAATACTACTGATGGGTTATATTAGTCTGTCTATATTTAATCCAATCTTTCTTCACATGATTCCTTTAAATAAAAGAAATGGTATTTGTCATTGTTGTAAAGTACTGTTTTAACTTGAAAGAAGTTGAATCAACCTGGAATATCTTAACACATCTATCAGGGAATATTTTATTTCTAAAAAGGTTTTTGATTCAAATATCTTTATACTTAATTGGTTAATTCTTTTAAAAAGATGTACCGAATTTAATTCCGTAATCACAGTCCATCAATTACAGTCCATCCACCCTCCCAGTGGGCTGTCCTGAGCTCTACTGTGTTCCTGGGATGGGATCAGTACATTAGGGGCATTTTCTAAGTAGCAGGGGCCAGGCCCCACCCTAGTCAGAAATAAACTGCTCACTCCCCTAAGGTTGTTTTCGTGAGGTAATGGGGCCTGATCTGGGATACACAAGGCTATGCTTAATTTGCTTAGTTTTAAGAAAATCTTTTTAAAGGTACAAGATAAATTTTCCAGCAGGCCTTAATTAACCTGGTAGACCAATGCTGGAGCTAATGCTATGATCCTAAATACCCTATTTTCATCAAGAGACTGATTTAGATGTTACAGTTCATAATCCTTATTTAATACTTGTATGCTTTCTAATCAAATACATGAGTTTTAAGACTAAAACCCATGTTTCACTGAACCACACGTTCTTACACTACTGGGAGTCATGGACTGGTCTGAAAATCTACAGGGCCTAGATCTGAAGCTTTGGTCCCATGATGCCAGATTAAGATCCTCTGCATAAATAGCATATATTTATTCATATTAAGTACCCCCAAATTTTCTACCACCTTGTTTGGAAGACAAATTTAATATTTGGCTCTAAATATGAAATTACAATTTTAATGTAGTTTAGAAGAATTATATAAGTATAAATACTTTTTCCTTTAAACTTTGACTAATTTTGCCTCATGCAATGGGATTAGGATAAAAGCAGAAGTCCATATTTGTAATAATACAACAGTATGTCTTAGAATAGTTGTGTCTCAAGCAATATATATATGTATCTCAGATAACATATAAAGTCCTGAAATTAGTTAAAATTTTACATTTAAAAATAAATAACCCAGTGACAAGATTAAATCCTAGACTCTAGATAAAAAATTTGGCCTGTCTCCCCATTATGTTTGCATCTGCAAAATACCAGCTGCTATACAGAAATTATTTGTGTACTATACTCATGGGGAGAAAGAAACAAGCAGTCTAGTGGCCACTTTATCTTCTTTGACGTTAAATTTTTCTCTATGAATCCTGAACAAATAGAGGTAGGCAGTGTCCCTACACTAAACTTCGCAAGTACCTGAGTAAATATATTATCTTTAAAGGAAATGATCACAGATGTGTGAAACATTTGCTTTATTTTATAGACAATCTTACCCTAAGTATCCTCTCTTAAATGGCCTAAGAAACAATTCTATAGCAAAAGTGAACCCCAGAATAGGTATACCCAGAAGGTAACTTTCCAGGCTCTCAGCACAACTGCCAATCAATTTCCACTCAGTCACAGACCCCATTTTCATTGAAACCTATAATCTTCTCCTAATTCTATTCTCTACTTTCCCACTAAACATTATCTTAGTTTAGCATTTATCTTGTCAAAGACTTGTCTTCCAAAAAGGCAAGCACGGTGTTCAGGGAGGGCTGTATGGAGCCCAGCCATCCCCGAGCTCCGAAGTCTAATGGTTGTGTGACCTTGTGCATGAGGTCAGTACCTCTCTGCATCTCACTCACTGTACATGCAGTGGTATTGACCTCATAAAGCTGTTGTGATGGGTGAATTATGTAAAACTATAGGGCAGTGCCAAGCACATGGTAAATAATGAAGAAAGTTTGAACTATTATCATTCCAGTTTTTCCATCAAAACAAACAGTATCCTTCTAAGCAGACTAGGGATTACAATGGAAAACCAAATCAGAGGTAAATTAAAGGATTAAGCATGTTCAGAAACATTACCTTATAGCCTTTTACTAAGATAATGATTAAATGCAGAGTAAAGACACTATAATCAATTCCTAGTTAGTATTTGGAATAACTACATATGTGTGTAAACTCAAAACATTTATTTAGAAAATACAAAAAATTACTATTAATATTTGTCTTGCTCTTTCTTCAGACTATCCTTTCAATTTTTAATAGTGCCACATAATTTTATAACTAAATTTTATTACATCCGAACACTTCAAAGAGTTGTAGTTTTGAAATAAATTTTGCTATGGTTAGAGAAAATCTATTCAGAAAGTACAGTATACATGAATTTATGGTACTTGTCCAAATATTACCAGAATATAAATTAGTTTGTAAAGTTGTTTCTTACACATAGGATGTAAAATACAAAAAAAAAAAAAAGGAATTTGTATTCAAAAACAAATAGAAGCAACATTAGCTCCTATATGCTAAAAATATGCTTAAGCACTCTACATACAAATATTAACTGTATGGGCTGAGAACTTTTAATTTTCATATAATTCAACAAGGTACACCAGTAGGGCTCTATAAATATATCCCCTATAATAATCATTTGCAAAACCATTTTAGCACAAATACTACCAAAACCCTCTGAAAAACGTAAACTACAAACACATTTTTAAAGAAACTCTCAGTTTTAACAACTACAAAAGCAATGAGTATCAATAAAGTTATTTGGCTTAAAAAAATGAAGGGCAGTGTAATGTAAATCCCAATACTGCAAAGTTGTTTTTTGAGGATGCAGTCTTGAGTTTCTTAATACAAGAACACTTAAACAGTTTCAAAAATAAATAAGACTTATTCTATACAATTTAATGTCTTGAGCTAGAGCTCTAAAAAGAAAATATTAAGCAGTAGATGAAAAGTAGGTAAGTAGAATTAATGGTGTAAAATGATTTTTATACAAAATGTACCACTCTCCAAATGTATAAGGCTTAATATGAATATTTTTGGATTGTGAGCATTATACACAATTTTTAGAGTAGTTTCAAGCCACTCAAAATTCAGTATTTTTAAAACATTTTGATATTTATGAAGTGAATGAACATGGTAAAGGATGCAATTTAATGTCAACTTCTCTATACTGTTCCACCCAGTAAAAATAAAACTTTTGAGCTCAGGAAAGAATGTATCTTTTTCACGTTTGATGCCTACATAATTCTACTTTTAGAAATGTCAGAATTTTGTAATATGAACTAATATCCATCAGGGACTGGCCCAAGTTTAAAGAGAAAACACAAAGGAGACAAAGAGTTAAACAGTTTTAAGTTTGCCCTATGCAATTATACAATTACTTTTTACATGAAAGTAAAGTGCTTTAAAGTAAAAAATATTTTTGTAAAAGTTATTACTAATACTTAGTATCCAAGTAGAATTTTCTCAATTAGTTCCATTTTATCTATTTCCTTTGAAAAAGTACCCTTCTGCCACAAAGTAAACAGAAAATGGTCCATGAAATGGGACATTACTCACATCATAATTTGTGGTGTGGGCCCTTAAATTGAGACCAAATCTTTATTAATCCAAGCTAAAGAGATTTTATTTCTTGCACATGCCCAAAGTAACTAATGTCAACTCACATTTTCTGTAAGCCTTGAAGAATTTTTATTTAACATAATGAGGTTTAATAACTTATATTAAAGACTACACAGCACTCTTCTGTTGCTGTTCACCAACTGTTTTTATGACGATAACTCCGAGATCTGGAATGTGATCGAAAATGAGAGTGTTTTGCTGTTTGTGCTCTAGTTTCAGAATTGGTGTACCCTTTGGGAGATTTACATGGGGATCTTGCTATGGAGTCAGAATGTCTTCCATGTGATCTTGATTTTGTTCCTGAGCTAGTCTGCTTTTGAGGTGAGCTTGATTGTGATTTTCCTATCGACTTGGACCTTTTTTGTAAGGACTTGGACCTTGACCGTCCTCTAGAGCCAGAATTCCTTCTTGGAGTTCTTGACTGCCTTGCTGAGGTAGACCGCCTTGGTAGTGATTTGGAGCGAGATTTAGACTGACTGTAAGAAAATCGCCTGTGTCGAGACCTGCAAATATCCATAATGTTAGAGTATATATTTCACACCAAAACAGTTAACAGGTTAGGAAACAACACTTTAGGGAACTTACATACTTTATATAGTATTAGTTATGTTTTTATTGGATAAGCTAAAAGAAACTATTCTTAATTTTGTCATGCATGATTTTGGTTCAAACATAAGTACTAGTTTGTAATATTTGACCAAAAGATTTCTACTTTGTTAGATATATCTTAAGCTGAGTCAGTTCTGAAAAATATATTTGCATATTTAGTCTAGGTTACCTAATTCCTAAGAGGTACAAAAATCTGAAGGGAAAAAAAGAGAAAGAAAATAATTATTTAAAGTTGATCAAATAATGTTTATAAAAACAAAAACCTAGAAACAACTTGTGTGTGTGTGTGTGTTTTGTTTTTGTTTTTGTTTTGTAGGAAGAGGTAGTTGGGTATATTTATTTTTTCAGTGGAGGTACTGGGGATTGAACCCAGGACCTCAGGCATGCAAACCATGCACTCTACCATGATAGCTATACCCACCCCACCAGATGCAGAACTTCTGAATCTTGCCATGACAGAGCAGCTTGTTCTAGACTAATCTTCCCATAGAAAAGAGCCACATATAACAGCTAGACAACATTTATAAAACAACCATTAGAAGGCATTGGAGAATAACTAACACAACCATTAGTGAGGGGTATAAGCCGTGGCTTTTTTCCTAAGACCATTTTCCAAATGCCAGCATGGGGGAATTGAGCCTAGTTAGAAAACAGCTATTTGACTAAGAGACAGAGGCTAAAATTCAGAGTCACCAAATGGTTAGGACTCGGGAGACAAAATCCCAGAGATGAGGAAATTACAGCCTCAAAACCCCCTAAAATCTGCCCACAAATTCTCCTCAAGTCACTGGCTATCTTCTAGTTGCTCAGACACAAGACAAGACTCCAAAAGGTCAGCAAAGACAGCAGCTGAAATTTTCTGATACACATTGCGGTAAGAGGGGCTGGAATTCAAGTCCCCAAAAGGTCAAGGAGCCTTGAGTAAAACCCAAGCTTTCAATTAAGAACCCAGAAGGGCCTAATCCTACAGGTAAGGATCATGCCCTAGAAGAAAGGGTAAAGCTGGAATGGATCAGCCACACCAATGCCTCACGCCAAGCCTTGACAGGATGAAGGTGATCTGCCAGAAGAAAACAACATCCTCTGAAGAACATCATCCAAAACCTCTATAATTTTTCATCAATAATGGACAACATCCAATAAAAAAATTATGACGTATGTGAAAAACAGATAAAGATGACTAAAAATTAAGGAAAGTAAAAGACAGAGACCCCAATTTGGATATTGGCATCATTCAGAAAAGAATTTTTTAAATTATTATGATTAATATATTCAAGAAAATAAGAGAAAAAGATAAAAAAGATGAAAAAGAGAACTTCATCAGAATATCAGAATCTTTAAAAAGAAACAAATGGACATTTCAGAACTGAAATTATGATATCTAAACCTAAGAAGTCATTAGATGGACTTAATAACAGTCTAGATACAGCAGAAGAAATAGTGAACTGAAAAAAAGATTAGAAAAATACTATAGTGAAATACAGTGAGAAAAGAAATTACAAGAAATCCAGAACAAAGCATAAGAGTTATGCTGTGCATAGTCACATGACCAGAAGGAAAAACTGAATAAGGCAGAAGCAATAACTGAAGAGATAATGGCCTAGAATTTTCCAAAACTAATGAAAGGCATCAACTCACAATTTCAAGGAACTCAGTAAACCTCAAATAGAATAAATTCAGAGAAAACTATGCTAGGCATGTCACAGTGAAATTGCTGAAAACCAAAGTCAGAGAAAAAATCTGAAAATCTGCTAGAGAATGACACATGACCTTCAAAGGAGCAACATTAAGACTGTCAGCTGACCGTGGATATCAGAACAATGGAATGATATTATTAAAGATCTTGCCAACTTATAACTATCTCCAGCAAAAATATCCTTCAGAGATGAATATAAAATAAAGATGTTTTCAGACAAACAAAAACTGAAAGAATTTACTCCATTAGACCTGTATTCTACGAAATAGTAAAAATGCTTTAGGATGAAGGAAAATAATCCCATGTAGAGCCTAGAACTACAGAAAAGACTAAAGAGCACTGGAAAATATAAATATATTGATCTAGAATTTATTTTAAAATAAAAGCACAGTCTTTTATTTTTTTTAAAGCACAGTCTTCTAGAATAAGACAAAAGTCCTTGCTCCTTGAAGAGTTCACAGTTAAGTGATAGCACCAAGCTAGTTTATTTCCACATCCACTAAAAGCAAAAGAAGAGACCTCTTTTTTAGTCCAAGGTAATACATCATATATACTCAATATACCTACAGTATATGTTAGACATATATATATTCTGATCCATAAACACACACACACACAATCTGATCCTTATGAACCTTAAGAGCTAGGTAAGATTTGCATTCTCTATCATGTAACTTTACAAATGAAAAACACTGAAGTCAGAGAGGTTAAGCAATGGCCTCATGACTAGTACAAAGCAGAACATCACTGTCTTCAAGAAAATGTGGTTCTTTCTACTCCTGATACTCCATGATGATTGGGACAGTTGACAGACTTTTTTTCCTCCAGCCCAAGCAGTATACTTTACTGCCACTACACAACAGACAATGCTGTAAATATTCACCTTTTTTAGATCAATCAAGAGAAAAACTAGTTAACTAAGCTCTAATGCATTTGGAAACAGCTTATATTCTTAATAAATCAGAGGGGCATTTTTTTTCCTTTTCTTTTACAAACTAAGTCTTTTTCACCAAGGCCAGTAGATACTATTCAGTAAGTTAGGACAGTACTGCTTTAGGCACCATTCATTAATCTATAGTAATGTGAGCTGCTGAACATCACTCTCATACTATTAATGTCCTTTGTGAAGCCAGAAGCAGTACCACTGGAATTGGTGTGGCTTTTCTATACTATGGCATGTAAAATCTTTCTAATCTGAATTTCTTCTCACCAAATTTTAAGTTCTATAAACATAATTTGTATTTGAGTATATCAGTGTCAAAATACCAAATAATCAATAGGAAAATGGCTTTCCCTTAGCCATGGGACAAAATGGATTATTCTCCATAGATCCAAGGGAAGTTTACATTCTTATACTATCAGAGAAAGTATGATAAAAAGAATCAAGTTCCAGAATGATATGACTATTCCTATTTCTACACCAATCCTGGTGATAGCTCAATCCTGACCTGGGCTCTCCTGGCTCATAAAAGGAGCTTAAGGCCTCCTCCCACTTTCATGCCTCCCTAAGAATGAGCCAAAATCAAAGCATCTGGTTCACACCCAAGGAGAGGGGCTGAACTGACATGTAAGATTCTAGGGCTCTCACTAGGCCACATTTTCTAGCAATCAGCATTCTTGGCTATGAAAAAGTCACAGAATGTGGATGTGGTTCTCTCTTCCTATCTTTTCTCTCCACTTGGCTGGAGGGATTCAAGCCAGAGCACTTCACAGCCTTGTTTTTAGAATTAGGGACTTGGGGCAAAGACACTCTGTCTAGCTTTGGTATATACACCCCAAGCTCTTAGAGTTGAGGAATGGAGGGATTGGAGTGCAAGTGAGCAGCTCTAGTGATCAGCTTTGACTTGCTGCTCTGATACATAGCTTAGGTGTACTGCATGTGGTCCAGGAGAGCCAATTCTTTTTACTTACTGAAAGAGGATCCTAGTGTAAATGCTGATCATTCTTTAAGAACTGGCCTTAAAATTCTACATGCCTATGAAAAACTTACAGCATTAAAACTAAAGATAAATAGTCAAGGTAAGTGTTTAAGAATTTAAGCTAATACAATTCTACTAATACTAACACAATTTTATTTATTATTTAAATAGGTTCACCAAGTAATTAATTTCCTTTATGATTTACTTTTAATCTGACAGAAACAAACTCTTGCCTAGCAAAATAGATAACTTACAAGTATCTTTTTCGGAAAAATTTACTAGTTTCATGTCTTCTTCCTATAATACTACCATACTTGGAATTTATTCCTGAAAATAATTTACCTTTTATAAATATACTGATTTACATTAACTTTAGTCAACTTTCTTTCAAAAGTGATTATATTATATTTTTAATGAGTTTTTAATTATCAGACATCAAGATTCTTAATTCTAGGGTTAATTTAGGGAAATTTTATTTATTTAAAATTCCTCATTTTATTTGTCAAGTATTACATTTTAAAATTCTTTGCTTTCTCCTCAGTGTATATTATCTTTCCATTAAAATGGTTAAAGTTAAGTCTGTCATGAAATGAAACACTGGATGGTGTCTAATAAACCCAGGTTAAGATAATAATACATAATAAACAGAGAACAGCATATCCTTCTACAAAAGTTGATTCTCTATGTATATTAAAATAACTCTGGTGTCCTGTTTTTGAAAACTCTTTTAAAATGTTTTCCAGAAAAAAAGCAGAAAATTAAGTTTTGAATCCTTACGTATTTTGTACTCACTCTTTAAGGCTATCAGACCGCCGTCTATTTCTCCCCCATGAAGAACTTCTACTTCGAGTTCTCCTTTGGCTGGGGCTTCTTGATCTCCGGTGATCGCTTGGAGAACAAGGGTGACGTTCTTTTGATTTCATTTGGCCTGGTGCTAGAATATGAAGTTCAAGACTTATAATTCACTATCAATAAATAACCACTCAATAAATAAACCATTCAAATAGTATTATTTTCTGAAAGATTTTTAAATAAAAAAATCTGTCATTGCTGAAACTCATTCTGCTGAATAAACAAGATCTACTATTTGGTCACACTTACTTTTGCGATCACCTTGTGCAAACTGTATTTCAATCTGACGGCCACATACCCACTTTCTATTGAGGTTATAAAGAGCATCTTCAGCATCACGAACATCTTCAAATATGACTAGCTGTTAAGGACACTTTGAACATCAATATCAAGTAAAAATATTGTTTTTAAAAAATTATTTACATGTAACATGAAATTAATCAGAAAAACAAGTTTGAGTTACTAAGCTCACATCTCTAATATAAAATGAATAATCAGATAAGAAGTTACTTTTATTATCAAATGATCTATTATGATTCAAAAGAGTAAATCTAAAAATTAAAAAAAAACAAATGTGTAACTACATTTTTAATGTATTCATTAGTGCAACTGTAGTATGTATGTTTAATTTGAAACATGTTATGAGGGAAAATAAGTCCAACATTGGCTAGTATTATTAAATAAACTGTTTAGGACTCACTCCTTTCTTTCAGGTAAAAGATTTATCACGTTTTTCACTGAAAAAAATCAGCATGCAGAAGTCTTTATTCTGAAATTAAAATTACTCTTTCATTAAAAGGCTTTTTAATTCATTTAGGAGAAATTACTTATAAACAAAAGTGCAAACACATAAGTGAGCTAAAACATTACATTCTCAAAACTTATATGGTCCTTTAAAAATGATCATATCTAACTTTGAAACTACTGCTTTAAAAACACCTTTATGTTTTTATTACTTGGGATAGAATTAGAAACATAATATCCCACTAAACTCCCTTATCTATAGAAATTATATGTTTAACCTAACTAAAAATGGAAATAAACTATATAAAATGACTAAATAGCTGTCAGGAAGTTGTTCACTTGTTCAATTTTTTTTCTTTAAATAGAAAACAGAAAAAGCTCAAGTACTGCAAAACAAAATGAGACTTTGGCAATTACCTCCATGTCACTTGATCTTGACCTTGACCTTTATTCTTTAGGGCTTGCAAGATGGACTTTATAAGAGACGCAGAACCAACAAAATCAGACTTGGCTTTGACTCTGGAACTCTGAGTAAATGTAGGAAAGCCGAAGTCTCAACCTGGTGTTGGCTTTGTCTTTTGCTTGATAAAGACTTCCCCTCTTCCAGGTCTTTATACTGTGTCCACCCTCCCTTTTTACTCCTTGATGCTTCAACTTTAGGTGTCTTTTGTCTCGCCTGCTTGGTTTATGCTTGAATTCTAGCTAACAGGTTGGTTCAAACTGGGGGGCGCTTGCCAGCTACTGTGGACTGCTTTAGATTTTCTGAGATAAAGAAATAAACACATTTAATTAGGCAATATTAATCTCATAACACATGCTTCTGAATACACATATGTATACGCACATGTATGTAATCTGTTCACACACAGTAAAATAAAGGATATTGAACATAAGCAAATCCTCTTGGGCGGCGGGTGTAGAAGTCAAGTGGAATGTAAACGTCTACTATAGGGCCATATCGACCAAATTCACGGCGCAAGTCCTCAGGCCTGAAGTGTTTTAGAAATAAGGCAAAGAAATATGAATAGCCGGATTAAAATACTGTGCCTACAGAAAACCCACTTAAAATCTTCAAAAGAAAGTATATGATCCAGATTAGCACTATCTACAATCTCTCTGGGGTTTAGAAAAGAAGGAAAAAGAAAAGGAAACAAATTCTCAGCTCTCACCTCTGGAGATTCTGATTCAAGAAGTCTGGATTGGGGTTGGAAATTTGTATTTTTACCAGCACTGTAGGTGGCTGTTATGCTTAGTCAGGCTGGGGAACCACTGACCCAGCATATCGACTTTTGAAAGTTAATGCTATTGCAAGACTTTTCAATTGTCAATATAAAGAGTTCTATTTCATTAAGAACATATTCATTTGCCTCACTATAATTTCACATTTATGTTAACTGTTTTCAGATAGCAAGAATTAGATTCTAAAGAAGTCCTAAAATTATTTCTCAGGCTTTAAAGAAAGATGGACGTTTTACTAGTAAACATAAAACAAAAATAACTACCATATTCTCAAATTTGACAAGAATTTTTGAGTCACTTACGTGACTTCTCTGTGATAGTACTAAAGAGGGGATACCAAAGAAATACATAGCATAATATTTGTCTTCATGGAGCTACAACTTAACTGAAGAGACAAAACACTTGGAATTAAGAGCTCGCCGTTATAGTGTGTTTATATGCCAGCTACTGTTAAACTTAAGACCACTTAATTCCCAGAACAAGCCTACTGTTGTTTATAGATGAGGGCACAGACAGATGAACTCACCTAACGCGACCGAGGTAAAATCAAACTCCCAGTCTGACACTAGTCTCTGTTCCTAACCACTGAACCCTACTGCCTCATGAAGATCTGACAGATCAGCATCAAGCTATGAGCACAAAACATGGCTTAGAAGATGTAGCACATTTCAAAACACTGTGCAGAAAAAGACCCAAATGACTGCAAAGCTTCTAACTTGGGCAAATAAAAGAAAGATGGTGTCTATGAAGAAAATTAAATAGCTGGAAAAGAGATTTAGGTTGAAGAGGAAGGAGAGAGGCAAAAGAAGAAACTTTCAGGTTTAGAAATGCTAAAATTGACGTGATGCTGGTACACCCACTCTGTAAGAAACTGAAAACTGCCACTATACAAATTACACTAATTAATTTTATTTTCCTCTCATGACTAGAAGTTAGTGACTAAAGCCAGATATGTGAATATAGGAGTTATTACATAAAGATTCAGCTAACACTGACTAAGCTGAATACCAGGTGGTGCAGCCGATGTTGTGACAAGCGTTATTATACTTCTATTATTTATTATTTTATTTCATGTACTACTCACTATAACATGTTTAATTGTCTGCCTTCCCTGAGAGACTGTTAACTTTAAATTTAGAGTAGAGTGACAATGTTTTTCTTTCATTTATTCATTCAATAAATACTTATTGAGTACATACTATGGGCCAGGCTCTAGGAAATTTTTTTTTTGTATTTTTGTTGTGACCTATTTTGACATTCAGAAATGTGTAGAGATAATAAAACAAACATCCGTGTATCCACCAACAAGATTTATTATATCTCAATACTTGCCATATTTGCCATAATTTTCAGTATTTTTAAAGAAATAAGATATTATATCTTTCTACCTAAGAAACAATCATTGGTGTTCATCATTCCTCTGTATAACTTTGTACTTCTACTACAAATGCATATAAATGGTATCAGACTACCCATATAATTTTGCACCTTGCCTTTTCCTCCCTTGAGATTTCACCATGTAGCTCTAGTTCACTCATTTTAACTCCATATTGGTATAGTTATGAATAAACCACAATTTATTCATACATCCTTCTGTGGATGAACATTTAAGATGTTTCTTTTTAATGCAAACTGTGCCAGAGCACACATTATGGTGCGTATGCTTCCTAGAGCTCTTCTAGAGTTCTCTGAGATCTATCACTAGCAATACAATTGATGGGCTGGAAAGTATACATATCTTCAGCTTCACTAAATGTTTTCCAAAGTGCCCAAATCAACTTATACTCCTTAAGATATGCATCAGAATTCCTAGCGATGCAATTCCTTATTAACATCTTTCAATCCTTACCATTCTGAAGGACACAGAGTGAATGGGTATTTCATTATTTGAATTTTATTTAAACAACAGTGAAGTGCAATATCTTTACATGCTTATGGGTCATTTATTTTTTGTTAATACCTAGGGGTGGAATTTCTGGGTTAAAGAGGACATATATATTTAATTTTTACAAAAAAGCCAAACAGTTCTGTAAAGTGGTTTACTATTTTATGCCAAGGATGTGTAAGTTTCAGTTGTGCAAAACTTTGTCAACACTTGGTACTGTCAGTCTTTTTAATTTTAGCCATTCAAGTGGGTGTTGAGTGGAATCTCACTGTGGTTTTAGTTTGCATTTCCCCAATGACAAGTGGTGCTGAGTATTTTTTCATGAGCTAATTGGACATTTATATATTTTTCTTTGTGAAGTGTTTGCCCATATGTAATAGTAATGTTTGTCTTTTTATTATTGAGTTGTCAAAGTTCATTATTATCCTGAGAAAAAGTCCTTTGTGAGATGTATGTTCTGTGAATATTTTCTCCCAGTCTTTGGCTTGCCCATTTACTTTCATAATGGTATTTTTAATGAATAGAAATTCTAATTTTGATGAAATCTACATTTATCAATTTTTCCTTTATAGTAATTACTTTCTTTGTTCTATAAGAAATCTTTGCCTATCACCAAGTCATAAAGACATTCTCCTATGCATTCTTCTAAAAGCTTTACAATTTCATCTTTTACATTTCAGTTGATGAACCAGTTCAAATTATGTGAGGTAGAGGTTGCAGTAAATTTTTTTCCTATATGGATATCCAGTTGTTACAGCACCATTTGTTGGAAAGACTTTCTTTTCTCTAATGGCTTTAGTGCCTTTGTCAAAAATCAATTGACTCTATAAGTGTGGATTGTTTATGGCCCCTCTGTTCTGCTCTATTGATCTCTTTGTCTATCCTTAGGCCAATATCAAACTGTCTTGATTACTGCAACATTTTAGTAAGTCTTTAAGTCAGACAGTATAAGTTCCAGCTTCAGTGATCTTTTTCAAAATTATTTTGGCTATCTAGATACTTTGCATATTGATATATTTTAGAATTAACTTGTTAGTTTCTTTAAAAAAAAACAAAACCTTTGATCAGGAATGCTTTGAATCTATAATATAATCAATTGGGAGAAAACTGATAACAATATTTTGTCTTCCAACCTAAAAACATAGTATATCTATCAATTTATGTTGGCCTTTGATTTCTCTAGGCAACATGTTGTAGTTTTCAATGCAAAGATTTTCACAGGGTTTTTTTTGTGAAACTTATTCCTGAGTATGTTTTTTGATACTAAAGTAAATAAAATTTTTTTAAATTTCATTATTTGTTTGCTGTTAGTATACAGAAATACAATTTTCTCTAAGTTTACCTTGTATCTTGATAGCTCACTAAAACTCATTATTATTTACTATAGCTTTGTATAAACAAATGTCATCTAAGAATAGGGACAGGTTTTACTTCTACCTTTATAATTTTGTCTTTATTTTTCTTGCCTTGTTGCACTGGTAAGGACTGCAGTAATAGCTGAATGGAGGTTGTGAGAGTGGATATCCTTGTCTTATTCTGATCTTAGGAGGAAAGCATTCAGTTTCATCACTAAGTATATTATTAGCTATAGGTTTTTCATAGATGCACTTTATTAAACTGAGGAAGTTCCCTTCTAATCCTAGTTTGCTGAGACTTTTTTTTTTTTGGTGGGGGGGAGGTATTAGGTTTATTTGTTTATTCTTGGAGGCGGTACTGGTGGGGGGGAGGTAATTAGGTTTATTTGTTTATTCTTGGAGGCGGTACTGGGGATTGAACCCAGGACCTCATACATGCTAAGCATGTGCTCTACCACTTGAGCTCTACCACCTGCCCCTCCGAGACTTTTTATCATGAATCTTGCTGAATTTTATCTAACACTTTTTCTGTATCATCACTGATATCAATATTCATGTAGCCTCAGACACAGTGTAACCAAAGAATGCTACTAAGCCTGTCCAACAAAGTACTCGATCAGTGCTCCCCAACCTAACATGATGTTAAGCCTCAAAATAGCAATGTTTTATTTGGGATTTGGATATCACTTTGTTCCATTAGCAAACTATATCTGAAAATTACTCTACACAGTAAAAAAGCAAAGATTTAAAATTAATATTCTTCTGGATCCACATTTGCTTCACCAGTGAAAAGAAATGTAACACAAATTATAAAAATGTAAAACGTATTTTTAAATCTGTCTTTAGTTCTTGTGCTCCATTTCATTACTAACAAATTTTATGCTAACCTATAATGTGTTTTAATGTCTTGTGCTTTATCATATACAAAATGGCTACTTCAAAGAAACATTTAAAATAAAATTTGGCTTTGTTATAAAACTAACATTAAATAAAGTATGGAAACAGGATAAAGAAAACCACTTAAATGGATTTCTTCCCAGGCTCATTTTCTATATATAGTTTTTTCATTTCTTTGATTTTTATATAACTGAAATCATACTATATATATATAATTTTAAACCATGTTTAACATTTATTCCAATGATTCTCTTTATAAGCATACTAATTGTTAAAGCTAATTTAAAATGTGTCTAGGTGTTATACTGCTATTTATCCTACACTACATGCCACCTGGTTTAAAAGAAGCTATTAACTGAGGTTACATGCGATGATTTTACTTTCATAACACTATTCAACAGCTGTGCAGTTTTAGGCAAGACCCTTAATCTCTCTAAACCTCAGATTCTTATCTGTTACATAAGGTTATTGAAAAATTTAATAAGGTAATATATGTAAAGTTTTTAGTACAATGCCTAGCACACAGTGGGTACTCAACAAATGTTATCAATTATTACAGTTTCATTAATACAAACGTCCTAGATTTTGAATGCCACTATCCCAGTGACAATGTTAAAAAATGATGGAAAAAAATGGAAGAGGAAATCAATAAATCTCAGAATCAGTCTTGGTTATCTAGTTCAGCGGTCACATCACCTGCAGATATGTTTTATTTGGCCTCCACAATGTTTAAACATTTTTTTAAAAGTGTTGAAACTGTCAACATTTTACAGCTTTTAAATCTACAAAAATGGGAATTTCATATGATTCAACTTAATAAATGCCAACATTTTGAAACTGAGTTTACACACACAAAATACAGCCTTCTGACTTCTTTTGAAAATTAAAAAGATGTGGCAACAAGTTCAAATGTCCCCCCAGTAGTCACCAGCCGAAGCTTAGTAGCAGCCACTGTCCTTCTGAGGTAGTATAAGTTCTTTTCCACTTGCCACAGTCCACACTATCCTATTGTCCCTTAACCTGACAACTTCACTTATTCATATTACCCTGGCTGGCCCCTGTGGCCATGAGAATTGGAAACCTTTCTTTTTTTTTTTTTTTTTTTGGTTGGCATACTAGAGAGGTTTTATCTTATTCAGTATTCAAGTGGTCTGTTTAAATGTGGACATTTTAAAATATCTTACCCAAGTTATGAATTTTGCTTGTTCATAACATATTGATAAACAGATTGAGAGAAGAAATATAAACACAGACATCTTTTAGATGTTAATTAAGGTACATTAACTCATAGTCTCTAGTTGTGACATATATAATAGTAGGGATCAAATTTTAAAAAACCTTAACATTTACTTCTCAGATGTAAATGATGATTACTCCTGATGGCTCTGGAGTCAAGGGCTCCAATATCTTTCTAGTCATGAAGCCCAGGTAAGTCATTAGAACTCTGAGTTTGAGCCTTCCTTTATGTACAATAACATAATTTTGAATACCTAAAAAGACTGGGGGAGAGGGGGCTGGGGAGTAAATTAAGTGAGCCCAAAGATACGAATATGTCTATTAGTGCCCCGACTCCCTTCATTCCCTGTGGTTCTTATTAAGGAAGAAAGACACTGCTAGACGAAGAAGTCAATCCTTAAGATCCATGTTTAGGTACTATGGAGACAGAATACTCCAACGTGGGGCAGGTGGACTGAGAGCATCAGAATCGACCAGGGAAGTCTATCCAAACCATTTCGCCGGGTGTTTATAGTGCACTGAGAACTTTAAAGAAAAGCATATCTATCTCATTCACTGAAGTTACCCTTTGTATGTACGATAAAACTGTGCAACAAATAAAATTCAACCAGCACCACCTGTAAGTAGACCAGACTGCTTACTACAGGCAAAGGGAATCACAAGGCCCAAGGTACGCATTATTGTGTAACGCGTTCTCACCATCCCCAATTCCTTCTCATCTAGGAGGTAAGGCGCACGGCTTTATCCGGGCACGGCGACAAAGGGGCCGAAACGCAGGCGCCCGCCCGCGGAAAACACTCACGGCCGGAGGCGGGGAGGGACCCGGGTTCCCGGGCAAGAGGCAGCCGGCGCTCCGCCGATTCTGGC